CCAGGAGATATTTGAGTGTAAATTCTAACCCTTTAAAGTACTGAGCCCATCGTACTTGTTTTGGGGAGATTTTCCTTGGGGTCTTTAAGGCTTCTAAATTTTTATGATCCATCCAGACTTCAAAAGGGAATTTACTCCCCTTTAGGAAATGCCTCCAGATTAAAAGTGCCCACCAAACTGCATAAGCTTCTTTCTTCCAAATGGCCTACCTTTGCTCAATTTCATTCAATTTTTTGGGATGTTTAAGCACATGGTTGTAATTGGTCTTGCTCATTTTTCTGAAGCAGGACCACTCCTATTGCCACATCGCTGGCATCTGCTTGTATGACGAATGGCTTCTCTGTGTCCAGGTGCTTTAGAATTGGCTCTGCTGAAAACAGCCTTTTAAGTTTTTCAAATGCACCTTGGCATTCCATTGTCCAGTTCAAAGGCTGCTTCGGTTTTGTGTTACCATCCCCCTTTGTTTTTAAAAGCTTGGGAATGGGGAGGCCGATCTGGGCAAAAGCAGGCATAAACTGGCGGTAAAGGTTGGCGAATTCCAGGAAGCTTTGTAACTGTTTATGTGTTCTGGGTGGTTTCCAATCAAGTACCGCCTGCACTTTTAAAGGATCCATTTTTATGCCCTGGTGTGAAATGCAATACCCTAAATAATCTATTTTTTCTTGGTGGAATTCACATTTAGAGAGTTTAGCATAAAGTTTGGCAGAGTGGAGTTTGTTCAGAACAGCCCGGACTAGTTTTACATGTTCTGCTTTGGTCTCAGTATATAGCAAAATGTCATCTAAATATATCAAAATGCCTTTATACAAATGCTCATGTAGCATTTTGTTTATTAATTCCATAAACACGGCAGGGGCCCCTTGTAGCCCAAATGAGAGCACTTTGAATTGGTAGCATCCAAGAAGGGTGTTAAATGCTGTTTTCCATTCATGTCCCACTTTAATTCTGATACGGTAGTAAACCTCCCTTAAATCCAGCTTTAAATCCAACCATTTTTTTTCCTTTTAGCGAGGTGTGCTAGCATTCTTTCATGAGGGGGAAGGGTGGTACATGTTCTCCACACTCATATTTAAGTTTCTAAAATCCACACAGAGATTTTTAGAGTCATCTTTTTTTCTCTAAATAACACTGGGGCTGCGATTTTTGGTCGGGCTGGCTCAATGAAACCCCTTGCTAGTTTTTGCTCAATGAATGTGCTCAGTTCTTCCAGCTCCTTCAGCGACATGCTATACATCTTGGGTTTAGGAGGTTTGGCACCTGGTATGATTTCTGATGCACAGTCAGTAGAGCGGTTGGGGGGGGGGAGCTTATCAGAGGCTTTTTTGCTAAAATAGTCAGCCAAGTATTTGTATTCTTTGGGTATACCTAGTTGGCATAGTGTAAGTGGGCATTGCTGTTTATTGGTGCTCTGCCCCCTCAGTTTCATTGTGTGGATTCTCAGCAAAAGTCAAGTGCATCTGAATTCTTATGGTGCCTTGCTTCCAATTAATTTTGGAGTTCCATTTTTTCAGCCATGCAAGGCCCAAAACTAGTGGCCATTCCATGCCTGGCACCACTATAAATGTAAGTATTTCTTCATGGCTCACGATGCCTTTCTGTAGAGGCTCAGTGGCAAATGAAGCTGCCTCCCCTGCTATTGACACATCCAGTTGGCAAAAAGCTATGGGGCTTTTCAGTTTCCTTACATTAATCCTCAACTTACTTACCAGGCTTAGGCTGATCAAACAGTGGGTGTACCCTGAGTCCACTAAAGCAGAGATTTTTATCCCCCTCTCCCAGTTGGGCATAAACAGTCTTAGGGGAGGGTAAGTAGTTTAATTGGTTTGCTTACCAGTGGTTCAATCTCTGGATCGCTTCTGGATAAGTATGGTTTCTCCTGTTGAGAAGCCGGGGCTTCCTCCTCAAAGAGGGGATGGGGTGGAGATTCTATGATCTCCCTGCTCCTCAGGTCTGTCTCCTTCCTGCGCTTGCCGGGTTTTGTAAGTTTCCCTGCCACTGGGCACTCTGGTTTCCTAGCCAGTGCTTGAGAATGGCATTCTGCAGCTTGATGCTCCTCCTCTCCACACTTGAAACAGGCTGAGTGTTTCAGAGAAGATGCCATTTGTGGATTGAAAGGCTCTTGCTTCCCTTGGGGTGAGGATTTCTTCCACACTCACCCTGCTCAGTACTGGTTCCTGGCCATGTCAATCTCTGCCTCTTCACAATGAGATACCACTCATATAGATGGTTGAGTGCACCTCGGGCTACACAGGCATTGTAGAGGTCATCATTCAGCCAATCTATGAACCAGCTTACCAGGATATCCTCTGGCCAGTTCACAGGACATGCCAGGTCTCAGAATTCTTTGGTATACTCGAGGGGGTCCTCAAAACATCATCACAGGACCATCATGAAACGGTCAAAGCCCCGCAGTTCTGGTGCATTGGCATCATGTAGAGTCATCATTCTTCTGGCAGTGGCTCCTTACAGGGCTAGGGTAGGGTCTAGGGTCACACTTGCGATCCTTGGGATTGGAAATCACACCCGTATTCTTGCATGTAGTTGAGCACATGTGCCACAAATAATCCATTTCCCATCAAACTTCACACCAAGGGAAGGAGTTTTTCTTTCTAATTGCAGGTTTTGGGGTTGGTTGGAAGCGGGTCCCAATCCATGTGCCAACTGGGGGGGGGGAGGGCTTGCTAGGTGCCCTGCTGCTGCTGCTGCTATGCCATCTGGTTGTGGCAACAGCCCTAACTGTGAAGTGCCTTCCTTAATGGTGCATGTTTTTGTGATGGTAGTGGACCAGCAGGTTTGTCACAAGGCAAGTGGGAAGTATTATTGGATGCTTGAGATTTGATGCTAGTTCAGCCTTATCTAGATGCCTTCTTATCCGAAGTAAGCCATGGCAGTCAAGGAACAGGCTCAGCTTCAGAAGTGAGCTGGATTTCGGGAGAGGCTTCTTAGCCTTTAGGCACTTGAATTCTACCGGGCACACATCTTGTTGCACACTCCTCAGAATGGCTCTCTCTGCTTGGGTATGGCTGTCTGGGGAGCCAGTCTTGTGATGCAGGAAACTGACGATCACTGCCACTCCTGATACGAGAGATCTCCATTTGGAGAAGCATTCGAAGCGAGCTAGTTCAAGGGGATGGTTAAGGAGCAGTTTTCCTGTCTCCTTGACCACTGTCAACAACCATGTTGCCTGGATGGTCGCCTTTTTGTCCTGGCTGGGAGATTTGTCGGGCACCTCAGGTTGAATGTCGGCCTCATGATCTGGGTCTTGCAGCTCATGTTGTTCTGATCCATGTGACATCAGGGTGTCTGGATGAGCTAGGAACTCTGGCCCCTTAAGCCAGGTTTGATTCTGCCAACTAGGATGCAAGAATAGNCCCCTAATAATAAAAACTTAATTTTATCTAACTTAGATCATTTTTATTAACCTTTGTATATAATCCAAAAGGATTTATAATCTTCCTTTCATGGGTACCATTCAATATTCATATCCAATTATTACTTATCATAACACTACACATTCTATACATTATTATCATTATCAATTATTTCTTTAACCACATATATTATCACTAAATTTCACTAAGTTTAACAGGAAGACGTATTCTTCCTCTTCACCGTTTCTTTGGGACAACCCAGTGGCAAAAGTGTTGGCTGTGGTCTCAGAGCATTGAGACCACACAACCATCTCATCGCGACATTGGCTCCTCCTTCATCTTTGTACATTCTGAGCCTTTGCTTTCCTGACTTTGTCTTTGCAGATTGTAGCTATCTGCAGTGTTCTCCAAGTTACAATTAGCTGTTTGATAAAAATTTAGACTTTTGAAAACTCCTTGTTCTAACTATCAAAGCATTTATACAAACTGAAAAAATGTAGTTATTATATCTTTCAGCCAATAGTAAAACATCACTTCTATTTGTAATCATTTATGTCCTGCAGCAATACCTCTGACAGCTATAGATATAACATTCAACCAGACCAAAACTAAATAAAATAGAAAGTATAATACAAGACCCACATATATAGAAGGCAACTATAGTCCACAGGGAACATTCTGTGATGTGTGATTTGACTTTTCTAATAATCCATGACTTGTTGAGTCATATTACTTCCCTAAATAAAGAAATAGAATGACCATGGGCAGGAAAAATGCATCGGAACAGGAGCGACTTCTAACTTCCTTCTGGATTGCCCACTGATTTTGCTTATGGCAGAAAGTATCAGAAATCATGATCACATGATCATAGCTAACCTTGGCAACACTGTAGTGATTACAACTTTGTAAATACAACTGATATGAAGACCCTTGAAATTTCAATTCCATGGGAACAATGAGCCCAGAATTTTGAATGAATTCTTTTAAGTTAGCAAATCTGAAGTAACTTAATCCAAATTTTATATGCTGTGATACACCACTTATCCCAACTGAATTTTACAAATAGACAAAGAACCTTTAAATAGCATCAGGAGTGTTATTAGTATATAGATATTGCCATACATGTCCTTATTCCAAAGCTCTTTCCAAGCCCAGCTGTTTGTTCTAAATTCCCTGCCTTCCATAGCTTTAAGTTCTGCCACTGTTTCAGTATTTTCTATTCTGCACTGAGAGTTTCCAGTATGTTTGAACTTGGATGCTTAGTAAGTTTTCATCTTTATGCATCTTTTCTCTAAGGAGAAGAAAGATAAATCTGATAGAAATTTGAATTTCTGAATTTGGAATGTTTTTCACAGGCACAAACTATGATTTTAATTTGGGTAGGAATATGCAGACCAAAGTTTGGCTCTTTATTAAGTAATTGTCAAATGTAAGAATTCAAAGTTTAAATCCTGATTTGATTTAGGGCTAAGAATATCACATAAAAACAGAAAATACTTTGTGTGAATATGAAAATGGATTGGGATAAATAGTGCACAAGATGGAAATAAAGCATTAATTTATGTAAGAACAAACATCATGGTTAAAATGATTCAATAATGAGGCTATCAGGCTAACAGTTTGACAAACCTGCTTAGAACTGTCGTCCAGCTTCTGTGCCAAACTATCCCAGCGGCGACTAATGTTTTGTAGCCACCCTTCCAGTTTTTGTGATAATCCTTTACTTTTTACTGCTGAGAGGAGATCCTGGCTGAGGGAATTCAGTTTATCCGTTGATTGTCCCTTGATTTCCAATTCTCCTTTCAAGATCTATAAAAGTAACATGGCAAAGAAAACATATTAATCTATCAGAAGTAATGGTACAGGTTAACTTGGCATTCTTTCCAAAGCAACAAATTTCCATATGCTTTTGTTAGTTAAGTTCAGGGCTGTCAATCTCACAGTCTGCGGGTCGGATGCGTAATGTGCTGGCCATGCCCATACCCGATTTAGCAAAGGGGATAAAAGTCATGTGATATGTCATGTGATGACACCCTGATGATGTTAGTTTGACACTTGTTTGATGTTAGTTATGGCCTGTAACTGGATATAAAATAACATATCTTTGCTGCTTTTGCTGTATTTGACGTTATAGATAAATACCTGAATAGCAATAGTAATAGCACTAGCACTTAGATTTTTATATGTGGCTTCACAGTGCTTTACAGCCCTCTCTGATTAGTTTACAAAGTCAGCATATTGCCCCTATAAATCTGGGTTAGCTAGTGAAGAGAAGGACCAACGGAGACATGATAGCAGTGTTCCAATATTTGAGGGGCTGGCACAAAGAGAAGGAGGTCAAGCTATTTTCCAAAGCAACTGAAATAAAGAGAAATTTTCTGACAGTGAAAACAATCAACCAATGGAACAGCTTGCCCTCGGAAGTTGTGGGAGCTTCATCACTTGAGACTTTCAAGAAGAGATTGGACTGCTATTTGTCAGAAATGGTGTAGGATCTCTGGCTTGAGTGGGTGGGGTGGGGTTGGACTAGATGACATATAAGGTCAACTCTATTAATATGTTTGAATCTGTTTTACTGATCTCAGAAGGATGAAAGGCTGAGCCAACACTGAGCCAGTGTGACTCAAACTTCCAAACTGCTGTCAGTTGGCTGTCAGCAGAATAAGCCTGTAATACTGCATTCTAAATACTGTGCTACCATGGCTCTTCTGAATAGATTGTTTATCAAATGGCTACCCAGAATTCTTGAAAGTCATTTTATACGTGAATTTAATAAATCATCATCATCATCATCGTTGTCATCTTTGCTACTTTCTATTTCTAAAATAACTCCTTCACCCCACTTTCCAGACATACTGTTTATGTAATTAGCAACAAGTATAACTGCCTTATTATGCTAGATAAGCAAAGCAAAGCAAAGCAAACTTAGCTGTCCCCTTCAAATTTCTACACTATCATAAGCATTCCTATGCCTCATTTTTGTGCTAGGCTTATTCTGTTTTTTGTTTTTTTTTACTATTTTTGTGATAAAACATTGCTACCAGCAAAACATTTTTGCTACATTAAAAACAAATTCGATATGGTTCCAGACCTTCAAAACACTTTGACAATTTTGTTACAAATAAATGTAAAAGTGTTGGCATGTAGTATCTAAACATATATACTTCAGGGAATATATTTTTAAGTTCAGACCATCTGGTCTCTCTTTCTTTGCTAAAAACTCACTTGAGTAACCCAGAGACAAACTGCCGGCTGATGTTTAGCTTTATGGGGCTTGTGCTCATGTAAAACTTTGAGAATTTATATGGATAAATGCACATTTTATGTTATCAAATTTTTCTCATGTCATAGCATGAAGTCAAATTAATGAAAGCAACATATGCTTAAAGTTATGCTGACAGATGGTCACCATTTCTGGTCTTCAGTTGTGACATATTTTAATGAACATTACATTTGTACTCAGTATGTGAGTCAGTAGCAATATTAAAGCAGCTGTCTCATGCCTGTTAATTAACCCGAACAATCAGATGGCAAAAATTTTAAAACATTTATTTCTGCTTTATCACAAGAAAAAGCCTCAAACATGTCAATGTCTAATTATACAGACATTATCATATTAAAACCATATTAATTTCAAAGCTTTTTTATATATTCATCACTGCTGTGGTTGCTTTAATTTATATCCATCACTAATATAACAATGGCCACCTCCCAGTATGTCTGTATGATAGTTTTTCTTTCAGCTGCTTTGGTGCCAATATAAGGGCATACAGAAATGGATGTGACATTCAAACATTAAAATATAAAAGAGCTCTTAGTTTTTGGTTTTAAAGGATTGAACTGGTTTTATTTCAGGGTATATTATATTGTATAGCCACTGTTATTTTCAGAGAAGTAGGCAACATTCAATGTAGGGAAATAACCCAAATCTAAATTTGATTTTTAAAAACATAAAATCATACCTATTCATGGCTTTGTTTGTTATTTCTCTGCAAGTATGAATTAGATCTGTAACTAATCAGAAATGGTGAAAGCACCAGACTTTTTATTCTCTTAGCTCCATGATGGCAGAGCTATGGCACTTTTGCCGCAGGTGGCATGCAGAGCCCTCGCTGCAGGCATGCAAGCTGTTGCCCCAGCTCAGCTCCACCATGTATGCATGCATGCCCCCCCTCCAGCCAGCTGGTTTTCGGGTCTCTGCCGCACATGTGGGAGACACGCGGGGAGTAATTCACGCAAGCACTTGGGCCGCATGTGCATGTGTGGTGGTGGGGCACATGCAGGGAGGAGTGTCACGTGCACATGTGCAGGGGGAGCACAGGGGTCATGCATGCATACATGGGTGGGGGGACCGCAGGGGTCATGCTGCATGAGCAGGGGTGGGGCACATACAGTGGGGTCATGTCATGCATGTGCAGAGGGGCAGGAGGCATGGGTGTGTGTCATGCATGCATTGCATTATGAATTCACATATGCTTTTGGCACGCAACAACAAAAAGGATAGCTTCCTTTTTGTGTTCCTAAGACACACTGTCTTAGCTCTAGACAAATTACTTGGAACATAATCAATATTAGTAACCTGCTAACAGAACCTATTGCAATTTTAGCACAATTTCAGTAATAGGGCATGTAATATATTAATTTTAGCATAAGGTTATATAGGGCCAGGAACCTTATAGTACACTTTTTCATTATTTGGCTTCCAATTGCTGTTCATCATACAAAGGGCTCATGAATCAATATATCAATAATCCGCCCCACCCGAATGCTGAATGAATGTTGTGTTTTATTGTTTTATTTTTTTATTTACGCACTGTCTTATGTTTTATCTTGCACCCCCCTTCCCATGAACTGTAAGCCGCCCTGAGTCCCCTCAGGGAAAAGGGCGGCCTATAAATAACNACATCTTCATGGCTTCTTCTGTAGCTAGGTAGACTTTAGCTAGGCAGATCTGATGGCAAGTACAAGGTAATGGAGAACCACCACATACTGAGGTGCAGCTAACACTTGTGGTAGCTTCTGGGTATGCTTTGAAGTCCTGTGGAGACTTCTTTTTTGGAGGAGGGTCAGCAGTAGGACATTGTGTCATCTCAGAATTTGCACCACTCTTGCAGAGGTGAGATTGCACATTAGCTGTACAGTTTTTGGCCATGTGTTCCATAGATGTTCAACACTTAGCCCGGTAGCCTGGCCCCACCACAGCCAGCCAAGAGGTCGCAAGAGGAGAAAGAGGGGGGAGGAGGAGGAGCGAGCAAGAGATAAACACACAGAGAGACATAGAGAGAGGTGGGAAAGCTGCCCTGAGCTTCTTAAAGCCTCAGCTGGGCACTGCAGGCCCATCCCACTTTCTGACATCCCATCCTCCCAGATCTCATTCCCACCCCGCCAGCCCTCATGTTAGCAAGGCTGGCATAGGTTGCAGCCAGGTCGGGCCAGTGTCTCAGGGCAGAAAGCAGATTGTGCATCTCCTCAAATGTGAGAGGCACACCCAGCACCAACAAAGGCTGGAAGAAGCTCCAAGAGGAATGAGGTGCCTGAGAATCAGCCCCGGCCACTTCTCCGTCCCCCGCCATCACCCTTACCTCCTCAGGCCAGGTGAGGGAGGTGAGGGCGAGCCAGTGATGGGACAGGGATCTGCAGCAGAGAGCCCAAAGAGCTGTGGGTTGCCAACCCACAGTATAGAGTATAGACAAATCATATGAACTATAAAGTCTTTGACTTTACTTCATGTCCATTGTGAATTTGATAAAACATACAAGTACTAATTACAAAGATTATTTCATAAATGGAATGTAAATGCCAAAAACATGTACAGAATCATAGCTACTAAGATGATGATGATAATGATATGATGATAAAGAATAAAAAATTATCTCCTAATTAGCAATGTCTTGCAGACACAAATGATGCAGAAAAAAGAGATGTTTTTTGACATTTTTGTCCTAACATCTAACACAAGCAATGTGATATCATAACACATGTTTCATCACTTTTCACTGTGTAGATACCCACATTTATTGTTGGTTGGAATGTTGCCAGAGCTTAAACATTTGCCAGCTGGAACCTCGGTTTGCTAGGTTCAATTCAAAATAACAGATTAAACCTGTAAACTCATAGTTGAGTGTATGCAAAATATTTTGATTCCAGAATTTTGATTAAAGTTACTTCACTTGGTCATTTACAGGTGCTCTGCTGAAATATGTGATATGAAAGTTGAAAACAGGGAGGAAAAATGAGAACTATAAAAAAAAACATACAGCCAATTTTTGTAGATTTTCCAACATTTCTTTCTGGTCTTTGAAATTGGTAGTATTCAGAGTGGTCACAAATTCTTCCTTTTCAGTAAACCATGAATCCAAAAGACCCTAAAAGTTAAAAAAAAACATTTAGAAAGACTGCATATTAAACATTATAAAGCAAAGAGTAAATAGATATACCTAACCTGTTCTTCAATAAATTGCAACCATTTTTGAAGAACATCTTGCAGAATAAACCAACGGTCCTCTGTCCATCTACAGATTGTTGCCCAATGGTTTCCTAAATGCTAAAATAATGACATTAACATTCAGAAGTTAATAACCATAAAATGCATTCCTAAAAAGCCACATTTTAGCTGGAGGGAAGTCTCCAGCTACAAGATGGGAAAGTACAAGACACCTGGGCATAACACATTCTATATTGTATTATCTAACCAAATGTACCTATCTGGGGGAAAAGATACTATAAGTAGAGTTGGATCTGGTTATAAACTGAATGGGACACTAGTAGGAGAAAAAACCCTGGTACAATCTAATTATATGTAGAATAGAAAATATCAAGATAGTGTGCAAGAAAGCAATATGGACAAAAAACATGGACATATTAATGCAGTCAGTAGGTCTGTTTTTGTCCTTTCCTTTTAAAAAAACTATATACTTGAGACAATTCCAAATCAGACAATTCCTGAAGGAAATACAGCTATTAGTTCTTAGGGTATTTTTCCTAGAAAAACAACATTTATATTTATCAGTGTATCTTATATAACTTGCTAGTAACCAAAATAAAATATTTTGAATTCTTTAGAACTGTGCTCCATTATTCTAGAACCAGCAGCAAGTCAAATGATATAAAATCAGATTAACACTTAATTTGATATACCATATTTTTCGGAGTATGACACACCTTTTTCCCTCAAAAAAAGGCTGAAAATCTGGATGCGTCTTATACACTGAATACAGCATTTTTTGCCTCCCAAAACCCTGCCCCTTCACCAAAATGGACATGCAGAGCCTTTAGGAGCCTTGCAGAGTGCTCCTGGGGACTGGGGAGGGCAGAAATGAGCAGAAAAATGGGCCATTCTTTGCTCATTTTTGCCCCCCCCCCCAGCCCCGAGGAGCATTCTACAAGCCTCCAAAAGGCTATTCATGCCCTTTTTCTTTAAAAAAAAAGGGGGTCCATTTTCGTGAAAAATGGACTGTTTTTGGGAGGTCTGCATAGTGCAAAAAACTGTTTTTAATTTGCCTCTTCACAACCTTGGTGTGTCTTATACTCCAAAAAATATGGTAGTAGTTTTCTAATTTCTTGTTAAAAGAACTTCTACCATACAAAAACAAAATAAAAAAGAGTATTTGAAATGCTGAAATGCATGACTTAGAAGCAAGTACAGTATTGTGAAAAACCAGGTCTCAACAGTTTAATAAGATGCAAATACTGAAAGTAGTACAATAATCAAGAGACTATACCAATATAGAAATTACCATTGTGAGTCCTATAACAGCTTCAAAATTAGGTATCAGAATGAAAGAATGCTTCCCTAATTGTATTCATTATTCTTACAATGTGGCTTTACATTAATGGCAGCACACACTCATATTCACAGATAAATCTGATATTATGATAAATCATAACCAATTAATGAAACACTATAATTCCAGGTTCACTGAAATTATCATAGCATTACTGTACATTTAAGTGATTTTTCCTACTGTGCATATTTTAAAATTTGATTGTAATGCCAATTACATTTTTTGGAGGGAAGATCTTTTTTAGTAAAATTGTATGGAAAGGGCAAGTGAAAAATAAAAGTGTACAGGAGTACATGAAAGATAATATTTGCCAATTCAGATTTAGTAAGTAAAGTACTTGTTCTTTCTGATCATAAATTATTCATTCATTCATTCATTCATTCATTCGAGTATCTCTGAATTGTGTTGAAATAAAGGTGGCACATGTCTTGACACTTTTCTCCTGAATAGTAGTTAGGTTTATAGTCCTTTATGGAATGTAACCAGTGGTGGGTTTCAAAAATTGTTGGAACCTACTCTGTGGGTGTGGCCTCCTTTGTGAGAGTGGCTTGCTACCCATGTGACTGGATGAATGAATGAATAATTTATGATCAGAAAGAACAAGTACTTTACTTACTAAATCTGAATTGGCAAATATTATCTTTCATGTACTCCTGTACACTTTTATTTTTCACTTGCCCTTTCCATACAATTTTACTAAAAAA